CATTCCCCAGGAAGGGTGAGGCCTCCCATGGAGGATCATCAAAGTCTATCACATCATTTGTGGAAGGACCTAGGCCCTACCCCATGTGTCTAGGCTGAGAGAGCATCCCTCCATAGGGAATGGTCTCCCAAAATGCATGCACTAGGGATAAATACTGGTTCCACTGCCAGAGGTCCCATAGACTGCCCAGGCCTCCTAACTGAAACGTTCAGGGGTCCTGGTTCAGTCCTATGCTGGTTCCCCAGCTGTCAGTCTGGGGTCCATTAACTCCCTCTTGTTTAGGTCAGCTGTTTCTGTGGGTTTCCCCAGCCTGGTCTTTACTCCTTTGCTCATCACTCCTTCTCTACAACTGGATTCCAGGAGTTCAGCTTAGTGCTTAGCTGTGAATCTCTGTTTCTGCTTCCATCAGCTATTGGATGAAGGCTCTAGGATGGCATTTAAGGTAGTCATCACTCTCATTATAGAGGAAGGACATTTAAGGTAGCCTCTACATTATTGCGTGGATTCTTAGTTGGGTTTATCCTTCTGGATCCCTGGCCATTTCCCAAGTGCCAGATTTCTCTTTAAACCCGTAATGTCTCTCTTTATTAAGGTATCTCTTTTCTTGCTCTCCTTCTCTGTTCTTCCCTCCTAGATATTCCTGATCCCTCATGTTCTCCTTCCTGCTCCCCTTCCTTCTGCCTCCGTCCCTCCCTCCCTCCTCCCCCAGATGTCTCTTTCCCCTTCTCAGAGTGCTGATATATGTCTCTCTTAGGTTCCTCCTTGCTTCACTTGCAGATAGATCCATATCCATCTCCATGCACATATCTACCTCCATGGATCAAAGACCTCAACATCAATCCAGCCACACTGAACCTCTTAGAAGAGAAAGTGGGTGGTACCCTTGAACGAATTGTTACAGGAGACAGCTTCCTGAACATAACACCAGTAGCACAGACACTGAGGTCAACAATAAATAAATGGGACCTCCTGAAACTGAGAAGCTTCTGTAAGGCAAAGGACACAGTCAGCAAGACAAAACCACAGTCCACAGAATGGGAAAAGACCTTCACCAACCCCACATCTGACAGAGTTGATTTCCAAAATATACAAAGAACTCAAAAAGCTGGTCACTGAAACACCAAACAATCCTATTAAAAAGTCGGGTACAGAACTAAATAGAGAATCTCAATAGAGGAATCTAAAATGGCTGAAAGGCACTTAAGAAATTGCCCAACATCCTTAGCCATCAGGGAAATGCAAATCAAAACAGCTCTGAGTTACCTGTCAGAATGGCTAAAATCAAAAACACCAATGACAGTGTATGCTGGAGAGGATGTGGAGAAAGGGGAGCACTCCTCCACTGCTGGTGGGAGTGCTGACTTGTACATCTGCTGTGGAAGTCAGTATGGCAGTTTCTCAGGAAAATGGGAATCAATCTACCTCAAGATTCAGCAATTCCACTCTTAGGCACATACCCAAAGGATGTACATTCATACCACAAGGACATCTGTTCAACTATTAGCAGCATTATTTGTAATAGCCAGAACCTGGAAGCAATCTAGATGCCCCTCAACCAAAGAATGGATGAAGAAAATGTGATACATTTATACAATGGAGTACTACTAAGAGAAAAAAAAATCAGTGAAATCTTGAAATTTGTAGGCAAATGGATGGAACTAGAAGAAACCATACTGAGTGATGTAACCCAGACCCAGAAAGAAAAACATGGTATGTACTCACTCATATATGGATATTAGACATAGAGCAAATGATAACCATCCTACAATCCATACTGTGCTGATTCTATGAGCAGAAAAAAAGATTATCTTGAAGAATGAGAGGAAAAAATCATTTTGAAACATCTAAAGAGAGAGGGTTTTTGTTCCCTAACAAAAATGAACAATGAATAATATTTAAAAAAACATGTTGTGAGTGTAAGGGTGGTTGCTAGGGACAAGGTAAAGATGGAAATATGTGTTTAATGAGAATGGAAATGTTGGGAGACTGGCTGTAGAATTGGGTGAATATACTTAACATTACTGACATATTGTATATTTAGATATGGCAAAGATAATAAAAATTATGGAGTGTGTATTTTACCTAATCAGAAACAAACAAATGGACTAGGAATGTAGTTAATTGACCCAGGGTTCCAACCTAAGCATAAATCAAGCTTGGTGGCAAATGCTTGTAGTATCAGCACTTGGGAGATGGAGGCAAAGGCTGAGTTCAAGGTCATCCTCCAAGTGGTACTGAGTGAGACCCTGTCTCAGAACAAGATGTAAAACTCCACACAAATCTAATTGTAGTATAAATGGCCCAGAGTAATGGAAGCAGTCTTAGTTGAGATTTTATCATCTCAAGTCAAATGTATCTAAATGGATCCTTCCTGAATTTGCCAGAAATTTAATTCCTGTCAATTTTACCCAAACTATCACTCATGTCTCAAAACTTGCTAAAATATAGCTCTGAAACAACTTAATCTCAATTTTTACACTGATATATTTAGTCTTGCACATTTGTAAATAGAAACATGTCTAAAAAGTTTATGGAAATTTTGATTATTTCGGCAAATGATATGGTCTTTAATTTGGACAATATAACAGCTTCACTGTACAGTTGAATGGAGGACTAGCATTCACTGATATGCAAATGTAGAAGATAAGGCGTAGATTAATTCTTTTCAACTTTATTATTCTTTATGTGAGTTGATGGGTTGCCTGTACATTTGTCTTTGTGAGGGTACCAGATCCCCTGGAACTGGAGTTACAGAGAGCTGTCAGCTGCCATGTGGGTGCTGGGATTTGAACCTGGGTCCTCTGGAAAAGCAGCCAGTGCTCTAAACCACTGAGCCATCTCTACAGCCCCCTAGATTAATTATTTTCACCGAGGAGTACTGACTGCACAATTTGGCAACATTTTGTGGTGTTTTCGGTTATCATAACTGAAGTGTAGGAAGCTCTACCCCACATAGCCATAGTTTAGAGTGTTACTATATATCCTACTGACAGGTCACTGCCACAAAAAATAATCTATCTGCAAAGGCCATCAGCATCAACTTTCAGAAATCCTAGGCCATAGTCTTCTCAAACTTGGCGGCATCTTTTCCTCCATCTATAACACACACACACACACACACACACACACACACACACACACACACACACACAACCCAGAGACAGATATTGGGGTTCAGCTTTAAGAGCAGGGAAGTAAAGCAGCCAAGCTACCAGAGAGCTCTTACCTATTCTGTGGTGTTCTTATTCTCAACGTGGTTGGAGAATGAATGCCTGATACTGAGACCTTGCTCCTGTCTTATATACCTCCCCAGTGCTGGGATTAAAGGCATGTGATCCCAGGTGCTGAGAACATCTTTGTGTGAGCTGTTTCTCTTTAGGACTGGATCAGTCTTGTACAGATCTGGGTGGCCTTGGACTTACAGAGCTCCATCTCCCTCTTAAGGCTGAGTCCTAGGATTAAAGGTGTATACCACCGCCTCCCAGTTTCTGGCTGCTGGGAATAAAGGTATGTATCACCACTGCCTGATCTCTATAGCTTAAGGATGACTTTGCTTTTCTGAATTCTCAGGCAAGCTTTAATAAATCATAAATAATATATCATCACATCCACTTGTCATTAAATTCCATTTTTAGTCAGTTCTATTTTCTCTTGAGATGGCACCCACACCCCACACCCATAATTTCAGTATTAATTCTATGATGTTGACTCTTATATTATTACATTTTGGTAACAAATGTTCTGGTTCTAACCTATTCTCTATCTCAATATCCCTTTAGATTTTCTGTTTTTATTTGTAGCAATTGATATGGCTATCTATAGTTACAATACTGAGTTGGGGGGCATAGCGGAGGTAGGAAAGGCAAAAAGGGAATTATGTCATTATATTTTAATTTCAGCTTTTTAAATTAAAAAATGGGACCATTGGATTTTACCTACTATCTATTGGTACCTAATTTATGTAATAGGCTGCGTAGAGTGCTTGGAGGAAGGTAGCCATCTTGGAGGTGTGAGGTAGTTATGGCAGTAAGTGCTTTAAATGGATTATCCTTAATATGGTATCATTTGGCAATAAATTATCACAGCTGGAAAGCAAATTCCAATAATGTAATTAATTAAAAACTATAGCACTTGTAGACACAACAGTTTGCTAAAAGGGAGTGTTCGTGACATTATAGATTGAAATTTCTCCATGAGAAAACAATGAAGGAACTGTGGTTTAGTTTGCGAACAGGCAAAGTGGCATAGATATTAAGGTTATTTAGTGATGAAGATTAAAGAAACTTAGAAGCTTTTTCTCAGTTTTCTGGCACCTTCTGGTTACTGTTTCTTGTTCCTTACCATATAACACAGAATATAATAACATACCACAATAGTAAGATGAGTCATTGTTTTCCACAGCCCTAAGAAAGAAATAAAACGTTGCCAGTTAAACATGGAGTGCCACCAGTTGTCTGTTTTCAGAGAAATCTTGGATGTTGGAATGAGAAAAAAAATACAGCGAGTTTTCAAAAATGACAAAAAATTAAAATATGAAGGAAACACGGTGGTTCTGGGTTGTATGATACATGATGAATTTAATGTGCATCCATTCCCACAGTCGGCTTGCAGTAATCCATTAGATAAAACGTGTTCATACACAGCCTTTTAGATGGTTGTACCCGCTTCCATGGCTCTGGGATGTGCGTATGCAAGTGTACTGTAAAACGCTTAATTTCTCTGGTTACAGCACCCCAGCGACCCTCCCACACACCCAGTCATTTAGACATGTCCTGTTGGCAAGTTACAGGCAAATTGACATTTTAAAAATTAAACTGTATAAAACTCTCCCTGCAGTTAATTAAACTGTGAGAGAGATGTGCTATGGGAAGGCGTTTTATTAAATGTGCACTTTTTTTTTTTTGCATTCCATTCTCGTAGAAAGGTTAAAATGGGATGGGGAACGGAGCGCTGTGGAGGCGGAGAAGGGATATACGTCTCAGGATACAGGAAATACGGTAACAGCGAAACCAGGAGGAAGCCAGCCCCGTGCCTGGAGGGGATCCGCCATCTCAGATCTCTCGGCCTTGCCAGGGCCCACCAGAGAAAACTGACGCTCTGGTCCGGCAATACCTATGGGGGACCAACCTTGTGCCTCCGGGAGATCCACGCTCCCACCAGGAAATACGCGGGAACCCAAGCCTCCAAAAAAGCGCTGTCTCCTGGCTCCGCGGTGGGATTATCCAGAAGGGACTCCCAGTGGAGGTAGCAACACTCTCCCCTCGGCGCCTCCTCCTGCATCTACTGGACTCAAGTCTCACCCTCCTCCTCCGGAGAAGTAGTGAAATAGATTTTTTTCTCAGCCTAAATCAGGTCAGATACTTTGTTTCTCATCTGGGACATGTAGGCTCTCTGTAACTTAATTATGCTTTTTTCCCAGCTTCCCCCACCCCCCTTTCCTGTTCTTGCCACAAATTCAAAAAAGAAGAGAAACAACATACAGGCCTTGAACAGCTCTTTTACAAAGTATGCCTGGGTGAAATGGGTATTTGATTGCATTCAGTAATTAAGATATTTTACATGAGATAATTGTATCCTTTTAAAATAAGCTGCAGTGTTTTGATTTTCGTGACAGGCCAAGGTGTAGGGAGGTACTAACAAAATGTTCACTGATTGATAAATTAAAATTGGATGGGGATTTACTATACTGTTCTCTCTACTTTTGTGTATATTGGGAATTTTGTCTATTTAAAAATGCTTCGTTCAAGACCAAGAGCAAAGATGTGACTAAGGCCTAATGCCTGTGCCGAGAGGGGACTGAAAGGTGAGCTTTGAGAACTAGGGTGTTTTTTTTTTTTCTGTGTAAAATGGGATTTAATGAGTGAAAACAAAAGTTACAGAATGATGATCAAATTCAAGTACCATAAAAACGTGCTTGTTTGGGGTATTCAGGATGGACCAAGTCACTGCCTGTTAGTAATGAGAGCCATCAAAGAGGAAGGGAGAACTTTGCGTGGGCCTTAAAGAGTGAGTGACATGTGCCATATGAGATGGAATGCTTTTTAGGCCTGGTGCTTCCAGAATGAAACAACCAAGGCCAGGCTTGTTCTGAGGCAGCTGGTCTGTAATTCTCAATCTGTGAAAGAAATGGGCTACAGGGTTGTAGGCCTTGATGGTTTACTAAGGAGTGCGCAGTTTTTTCTCGAAGCGTGAATCCCATAGGCGATTTCCAAACAGGCGCCGTTTGTGTTTCAAGACATTAATTCTTCCTTTCAGGAAACAATAACCTGTTTAAATGAGCCTTATAGACTGTGAGAATGGAAAACAACCAAGTTTCACCCAGGTCTCATTAATGCCTTCTTCATCTCACACCTTTACGGAGTCCTTGCGGTATTTAGGCCTTGCACAGGGAGATGTGGGAGCAGATGACTAAGGCTGTTGCGTAGCAGGAGTAACAGACATTTGAGCAAGTCATGAATAGCATTGGCCACTGTGGATCTTCTTTCTGGGTATCAGGTTTGTTGCTAAAGCATAAAAAAGGAAGGAGTTCCATTTCACCTAAAAGCAGTTGATTGTTATTCCTTAGGCCCTTACTTCCCCTCGTTTTTTTTTACCTCTATTCAAAGGCAAAATATGGTAATGCAGGCTATAGGGAGAAAAATGCTCACCTAGAAAAAAAGGAAGCTATTCAAGGCAAGAAGTGTGTAGGAGCTACGCAATTTCTCCCCAGTGACTTAAATCATAGGCAATTATAATGGCAAATAGTGAAATTTTTTGTGTGTACCACATTTTTTCTAAAGGGTTTTGCATGTTTGAGGTTAATCACAAATCCACCAAAGGATGTGTGTATAGGCCAATACATTCCTAAGTTACTACAAGTTGTGTCCATGTTGAGATTTGACTACAGAGAAAATACTTGGCTCCAGAGATGTGATGCTGTGAGCTGCTGTGTACCCAACTATCTAATAGGAATGTGCCATGGAATTGGGAGCTGACAGGAACATAAGGAAAATGAGTCACACTGCATGTGACAGACGGAATGACTTCACCTTGCTTTACTGTTTTTCAGTCTTTGAGAGATTGCAGTATGACTCCATTTCCTTGGTGCATTTGTAAAATAGTTCACCCATTGAAGACCATGAAGACTCTTTCCAATGCTACCCTGCTTTTGCTGGTGTCCTGCACCTGGAAATTGTGATGCTCAAGGTAATCTTTTTTATTTTGTTTTGTTTTGTTTTTTCACTAAAAGTGCATGTAAAGGAGGAATAAAGCAATTGATTATCGCATGCTGAAAACAACCGGACAAAACCCAAGAAGCTAGCATGCGTCATAAAATTGAAACATTTTTTGTATTATATGAAATGATATGCACGAAAAACTAACCATATAAATCTGCAAGGCTTCAGTAAATTTACTGCTGTTGTTACTTCCAAGTGAGTCTTTTTAAACCCCATTTTCTAATTGTTGCTAGTAAAGGAGAAAATGACTGGTACTTTTATATTGACTTTATAACACGTGTCCTTTCTGAATTACATTTTTCTAGTAATTTATAGATTATCTTGGGGTATTTTTTAATTATATTGTATTGTCATTGTCTTCTTTACCAATATGTATTTTTTTTAGTTTGTCCAAGAAAATTGGTGGATTTTTTTCTTTTTGGTGTTTTGAGACAGGGTTTCTCTGTGCAGCAGTCCTTAGCTGTCCTGGAACTCTGTAGACCAGAGTGGTCTTGAACTCACAGAGATATTTCTGTCTCTGCCTCCTGAGTGCTGGGATTAAAGGCGTGGACCACCACCGCCCAGCCTAAAATTAGTATTCATAGTTTGCTGAGAGGATTTATTGTGAATGGATATGGAGGTTTTTTCACCAAATATTTTGTCTATATCTACTTACATAAGCATATTTTCCCCATTCATATGACATGAGAATGTGATAAGTTACAATAACTTTAACAAATTTCCTTATTTTGGTTTTAACAACTCTTCTTCATTTTTTGGGGGGTAGGGGTAGGGCAGAGATTAGCCTCTTGTATTGGTCTTCAGGAATCATCCACTTTTATGTCTTTTGTTTATTTGTTTTGTTTTGTTTTTTGAGACAAGAGCTGTTACCGAGATGAAGATAGGCTGGCCGGCCAGGGAGTCCAAGTGACCAGGAGCCCAGTGAGTTCAGGTGACCACTGTCTCTACCTCCCTAGCACTGGGATTGCAAGCCTGGCCAGCACACCCAGCTTTTCTTTAGGTGCTAGAGATAGAATTTATTTAGGTATTGTGCTTGAATATCAGACAGTTTGCTTACAGAGCCATCTCTCCAGCCCTGTTTTCTCTTTTAATTATCTTATCTATATTTCTTTTTCGTTCATTTTTCTAATTCAGTGAATTGGACTCTAGCTCATTAATATTTCTTTTCTAAAATAAAAAGTTAAACTATGAATTATTCTCTACCAGTTTATAAGAATTTCACGGGTTTATGTGTATTATTTTGTTATACTTCAACAATTATCGATTTATAATGTCTCTAATGTTTTAATGTGGCCATTTTATATGTATGGGTGTTTTGCCTGCAAGTATGTATATACCACGTGTATGCTTGGTGCCTAGGGATGTCAGAAGAGAGCATTAGATCCTCTGGAACTGGAGTTACAGATGGCTGCAAGTTGCCACATGGGTGCTGGGAACTATACCCCATCCTCTACGAGGGCAACAAATGCTCTTAACTGCTGAGCCATCTCTCCAGCCTATGACATTTTATTTTTATTTTTTCAGATTTCCAGTTATTTGTGCACTCCTTTAAGAAAATTGTATTGTGAAGCCATTAACCAAGCTACAAATTAAATTTTATTTTCTTCCCCTTTAAAGTATTTTTTAATCCTTCTTGAAACAACAACAAAAAATAAGTTTTTATACATGCTGTGCATCTCAATACAATTTGGTAATATAAAACTTTTTTGCCAGGTATGGTGGTGCATACCTTTAATTCCAATACCCAGGAGGCAGAGACAGGTGGATCTCTAAGAGTTTGAGGCAAATCTAGTCTATATATTGAGTCTGGCCAGCCTGGGCTATATAGTGACACCTTGTCTACAAACAAAACAAAAACTGAAAGCTTTTTTCTTTCATAAATACAAAGATCATAGTTAGGATGTTTATAAGTCCATGGTTAAACTGTGAGGATATTGTAGAAAACCTTCCATACCCCATATTCACATTTATCAACTATTATTTTGCTACATTTGCTTTCCCATTCTCTTTCATTCTGCAGTCTCAAAGGAATTTTCAGCTGTACTTCTCCTTTATTTCTTAATAATTCACTGTGTTTACTTGAAATAAATACTTCCTTATACATTTTCTTGGATGGAGTTGCAATCCAGGATGATGTATTATACTTAGTTTTTGTGTGTATGTGTGTGTGTGTGTCTTTCTAGTCTTTGATCAGTAGGTTTCTTCAATTTCTTCAGTCTTCTTTGTCTTTGTTGTCATTGACAATTTCTCAAAATAGACTATAATTTTGTAGAAGACTCTTCATTGTAGGTGTGTGTATCATTTCCTTCTCTTTATATTTTGTTGATATATGTTGGCAGGAAGACTACAGGATTCATATTAAGGTTTTCTCTGGGCATCATATTTGTAGATTGCTCATGATGCAGATGTCATATCAGCATTGACTTCTTGGTTAAGTCACTGGGATTTTGTTAGATTAACCCATTTTTTTCTCTTTACAGTCAATAATTTTGCTGTGAGTACTTGCAGAAATTCAAAGCTTATCTGTTTCTCATCAAACTGTCTTCTAGTAGTTTTTACATCAGTTGATTATTCTTGACTAAGTGTTTTTACTATGATGACTATAGAGTAATATATTTCAAGCTCCATCATTTTTACTACATTTCCTAATTTATATTCTACTTGAAGAGAACACTTTCTTCTATTTATTTATTATATTTAGTCACCTAAATTTTGTGTTATTTCATAAATAGCCTGTTGCTATCATAATTATTTTATTCAGTTTGTCTTCTCTACCCTTTGGCATGTTCACCATTCTTTGACAGGTATTTAGACTTATTTTAACATTTCTTTTCTTCCTTAGTTTTAGGCTCATCTTATGTTTTCTATCCCATTGATCTTTTTTATCTTGTTATTTCACATTTAATTTCAGAGTACAAACATAGTTTCATATTTGCTGAAATTTGCCTTATGTCTTAGAGAACATAATGATTACTGTTTCTCAAGTATTTGTTAAAGGTTTGCATATTCCACCTGTTATATATAGGGGTCTATAAATATCTGCTAAATGTGTTATGTTATACAAATCTTCTATATCCCTAGTAAAGTCTAGGATACATCTTTTATCGTTTTTTGTGACCCCTTTTTATGAAATCTTTCCTTAAAATCTATTTTGTTTGCTATTAATATAGTTACAGCAAGATTCCATTCTGGTGATGATATTTCTTTTTCCATTCTTTAATCTGCTCATTTTTCTTTTTAGACAGGGTCTCTCTATGTAACCCTGGGTAGCCTGGAGCTCACTATGTAGCCCAGGGTGGCCTGGAACTCACAGAGATCCTCATTTCTCTGCCTTCTGAGTGCTGGGATTAAAGGTGTGTGCCACCATGCTCTGCACCCCTCCATTTTTTTGCTATATATTGTGTTTTCTTTCATTTTTTTAAGTTTATTGTGAATTTAGAGTTCAAAACAAGTTTACTCTATTACACTGCTGTGGATGAGAAGGCTTGTGTAAGTTTCATCTGATTAATTCAAAGTGCTGGTCAGCTGCACTCCTTCCCAGAGTCTCTAGACGAGAATTTGTTCTCTGCTCCTTAGGTTGTTGGTAGAATTGAGTTCCTTACAAAGGTAAGAGTGAGACTTCCATTTTCTTGATGGATGGCAGCTGATGGGTGTTCCCAGCTTTTAGAAGCCCTTTATTTTTGATCCTCTTTCATTATCTTCAAAACCAACTCTAAGTTGAGTCCCTCTCATAGTTACAATTTCTCCATTTCCTATCCTCATCCACCCTCTCTCTGACTCAGGTAGGAAAAGGATTTCTATGTTTAAATAATGCATTCAGTCAGAGTATGCCACCTAGTTAATCCAGAGGAAATTCTTCTGTCTTGAATTCCATAACTGAATTACTACATCAGCAGAGTTCTTTTACCTTGTAAAGTGATATAGTCGCCAGTTCTGGGAATTGATGTGAACTTCTTTATGTACCTATTATTCTGCTTTCTGCACATTCCATTATAGCAGCTAACCATAACCATAACCATAACTCATTGTTTTATAATCCATTCTTTCATTCAACCAGCAGAAATATTTTCAAAAACATATATTAAAGCAAACATCTGTTATATTACAGACATTGTACCAGGTGCCCATACTGCAAAAATAAGATGTCTAACTCACCCACTAAAGCCATAAACCAGTTTGGTAAGTTCTGTAGGAATTAGCACGTAATGCTGTTTAAGAGAATGAAAGAGGTTGTACTGCCTAGATTAGAAGTACCAAGATGGATTTTTTTTTTGTGTGGATCAATGTCTGTGCTGGGTCTTACAAAGTACTCTTTGGTATTAAGGGTGGGGAATGGTAAAGTGATGTATTAGTTTTCTGTTGCTGTGATAAAATACCATGATCAAAACAACCTATGGTAGACAGAGTTTATTTTGGTTCAAGGTTCTGTAGAGACAGAGTCCATAATGGTGAGAAAGACATGTCAGCAGGCAGCTGGAGCAGGAAGTTGGCTGATCACATTTTAACCAGACACAGGAATCAGAGAGAGCAAGCAGGAAGTGGATCAGGGCTATAAGCCCCCAATGGTCACCTCCAGTTACTTTCTTCTTTCCTCCAGAAAGGCTTCATCACATTTCTTGGAACCCAGGAGGTTGGTCCTGAACTCTCAAGCACTAATCCTGCCCCAGCCTCCGGAGCTGATAGGATTACAGGCATGTGCCACCATAACACTTCTTCACAGCACCAACCAACTGGGGACCAAGTGTCAAATATAGGGGACATTTCTCATTCAGACCATCATAAGGGCAAGTAGTGAGACTGTAATTACCAAAATCACAGAGTTCATTCAAGTCAGCCTGTCCTTTTACAGGGTATGGTAATAGTAGCTAGATCTGTAAACCCTGTAATTTCCTGGGATGTAGGATGAACTTATTGAGTAATGTGGAACATGAATATGAAGACTTTGTTTTCTTTATTAAATAGTTTCTAGATAAATCAGTAAGAAATATAAAGTTATTAAAAACTTTTGAGGAAAGCGAAATGTGGTGGCACACTCCTTTAATCCCAACACTTGGAAGGTAGAGGCAGATGGATCTCTGAGTTCAAGACAAAACTGGTCTACATAGCAAGATCCAGGCTAGCAAGACTACATAGGCAGACCCTGCTTTAGAAAAAAAAGACTTTTTAAGGAGAGTGTTATGTTCTTTTTTCTTTTGGTTTTACAAGACAGGGTTTCTCTGTATTGTTTTGGAGGCTGTCCTGGAACTCCCTCTGTAGACCAGGCTGGTCACGAACTCACAGAGATCTGCCTACCTCTGCTTCCCAAGTGCTGGGATTAAAGGCATGCACCACCAACGCTCGGCAATGTTATGTTCACATTTGTATTATATATATATATATATATATATATATATATATATATATATTCTTCATGTGGAAGGTAGCATGGGAAGATATTGGATTGAAAAGATAATTATGTGAAAATCCTTCAAGTAATAAAAGTTTGGTCACTGATAGTTGGGATGAAATACAGAGAAACTGATTAAGAAAGATTTATGCAATGTTTATCAGATGGTATATTAATCAGGGTTTAACCTGTGAAGCATATCAGTAGGAGGTATGTAATAAGAAATTATATACAGTTGCAGTATATGACTGGGGTAGATTGCACAAGTCTGAAATCTGTAGAATAGGCTTATAAGAAGAATATCCTGGAATTCTCCAGTGCAGGCTACAGCTGATATGCACATTTCAGGGAAGCTTTACCTCTATTCTTCACTCCTCCTGTCAACTGAGTAAATAAATCAGATCTACCTAGATTATCTCCTAGCTTCTTATTTAAAGACAACTGGTTGTAGGTATCAGTCACAAGAAAAACAAAATACCTTTGCAGCTGCCCTGGGATCTTGTTTGAATAACTGTGGACTCTAACCTAGTCAAACTAACTTGACAAATGTTCATGATGCATGAGAGGTCTATATAAAGAAAGGCAATCCTCAAGTTCCTGAACTTAATATTACATGAAATCTCTGAGATGCAGAATGCAATACATGGGATAATTTTCACTATTTTGTGCAAGCTAGCTAGGAGGAGATTGCTGGTAAGCTGGTAAAGATCTGAGATGACAAGAGAAGTTTTGATGACTAGGTTAAAAAGTGCTGTCAAGAGTGATAGTGCAAGGCAAGGCAGCAAATTAGATACTCTAACATGCAGATACATGGAGCAAACTGTCTGAATAAAACTCTAGGATCAGTGGTACTCCAAGAGTAGCTAGAGAAAGATGAACAAAGGGGAAGTAGAGAACTGGTCCTGGGAGTATGCTGTCCAGATTTTACAGAAAATTCAGGAAGCAACAGTGTCATATGGCAAATGGTTTAATATTGAGAAATTATTTACTGCTGCCTCATTTTTGACACAGCCTTGAGAATGATATCTCTAAAATACTTTTAACCATATTGTTTCTCTGCCTAAAATTCTTAAATGATTTCCTCTCATCTACAATAAGATCTTAAATGGCTTGCAGATTACATAAGGCACGTCTCTTAAACCTGATATATTGCCATTAAGCCCTGCCCCTTATAACAACGGTACCAAACTCTTTTGTTGGATTTTTCTTTTTCTTTTGTTTTGTTGTGTTTTTTTCAAGACAGGGTTCCTCTTTGTAGCACTGGCTGTCCTACCTGGAACTTACTTTGTAGACCAGGCTGGCCACAAGCTGCCTGGCTTTGTTGGTTTTCTTACCCTACTATGATTCTCTTGAATTTACTGTTACTTTGGGCTCATTTCATGTTACATTTGGAACTCTGCCATTTTTGTAGTCTGCCTTAAAAACTTGTTTATTTGTCATGGCCTTGGGAGATTTTACCCTAATTCCCTGACCTCTACTTCAAGAACCAGTATTTATTGCATCTTTGTAATTATCTTTATTTATCATCCCAGTATTTATATTTGTTTGCACATAGCAGATACTAAAATAGTAGAACTACTCTGAAATCTCAGTGTTATTAAATTCTACCTGGTAGATTGTGAAAGACCATTGGTGTGAGCAACGAAATTTTGCTGGGTCTGCTGGTTTCTTCCCTTTTATTGAAAATGGACTCTTTTCTCATATAATACATCCTGATTACAGTTTCCACTCCCTCTAATCCTCTCCACCTTCCCTTCCATGCAGATCCACTCCCTTCCTGTCTCTTATTAGAAAAGAACAGGCTTCTAAGAGATAACAGCAAAGCATAAAAAAATAAAAGATAAAAAGATAAAACAAGCTATCACATTGCAGTTGGACAAGACAAACCAACAGAAGGCAAAGAACCCAAGAGAAGGCACAAGAGTCAGAGACCCGTGAGTTCACAAACTTAGGAATCTCATAAAAACACTAAACTGAAAACTGTATGTTGCAGAGGACCTGGTGCAGACCCGTGCAGGCCCTGTGCATGCTGCTTCAGTCTCTGAGTTCATATGAGCTTTGCTAGGTTGATTTAGAGAGCCTTGTTCTCCTGGTGTCTTTCTGCCTCCTCTCTTCATGGGATTCTCTGAGCTCCGAGGGAGGGATTTGATGGAGACATCCCATTTAGAGCTGTGTGTTCAAAGGCCTCTCTCTCTCTCTCTCTCTCCCACCCTCCCTGTAATGTCTGGCTGTGGGTCTCTGTATTTGTTTCCATCTGTTGTAGGAGGAGTTTCTTTGATGATGGCTTAGGAAGGTACTGATATATGAGTATAGCAAGGTATCATTAGGAGTCATTTTATCACTGCTTTTTTAAGACCAGTAGAAGAGGTCCTATGAAAATTTCTAAACAACCCAGGCTGTTGCCAAGACAATAAGTTGCTCTCCACAAACTGACAGTGGGTACCCATTGCTGAATACAACACCCACATAACTCATTGAACATGGAGAGGTCTAGCTGGTGCCTACATAGAACCTTTACCTCCAGCTGAATCCACAGGCTTATCAGAAAATAATCCTGCCACAAATTTTTGATCAAAGCAGTATTGTGACCAGTATTTTATGCTATAGAGAGCTGGACTGTCACAGTGAGCTACATGTGTGTTTTAACTTTTTAAAATGCTTTCTTGTAAGAGCAGGAGCCATGGGAAATTGAGAGAGCTGGAGGGAGTGGGAAGGCAAGCTGCTGCCTCAATAGGGTTCCTGTAAGGCCCCTAACCTGCTAGTCCCTAGTTTCTTAGCCCCTTGCTCAGTACTTTGTTAGTTCTTCCTGGAGGTTGGAAAGGTTGTAGGCTCACAACAATAGATGGACAGAGAACGTTTGAGCTGTGATCTGTGGCTATCCAGAGGGAAGTATAAGTAGAGCCAGTCAAATACAGGAGTTGGTGGAAACCCATCAGTGGAAAGCAAAGAGTTAAAGCCAGCATGTGTCTCCTGACTACCACTTTAACTGCTCCCATCAGGAGAAGGAAAGGCACCTTGCTTCTACTGCTTGGGAGCACTCTGAAGAGAAAGAGGCAGATATGTCGGTAGGCTCCCACTGGCAGAGGCCTGGAACTGCCAGGTACAAATGCCTCAGCACTACAACCTTTCCTGAGTTCCTGTGAGGAAAGGAGCCATGTGGTCCAGCATACCCAGAACTCTCAGGATTGGGTACACTGCTGACCTTCACTGGCCAATTGGCCTAACCCCAGTGATTAAATGTTAAGTTTCATTGGCCTCCATACTGCTACCTATGTTGCCCTAGGGCTTCTAGAGTGCTTATTGCCCCTCCTGGTGAGCCACACTGGTATGCAGGCTTCTCTCTGGGTGGTGCCTCTGACTCAGGATGAGAGATCTCACTTGACCTGAGTCCACTCAACCCAGCTGTCCTTGCTCACTCCCATGCATTTGGCAGAAAGCAAATATTACTGTCTGGGCCTTTTAGACACCATTTCCACTGGGTGGCAAATGACAGTCACTACTTTCTTCATGTACACCAAGGACATTAACCTCTGTCGGGCTGAGGTGAGAGCTCTAGGGCAGCGCCTTTACAGGTGATGGATCTCTATAACACTAAGTGCATATGGAATGCTGTGCCACGCAATGCTGGTATTTTCTTCTATATGACCTACACTTTTTCTTCATTCATACCTCAGAAGTGTAGGCCACACTGGGAATGCACAGACCTTCTGGATGAATTTGAAAGTTGTCCACCCAATGCATTCCAGCACTTTTCTGTAGACTGAATTCAGAAATATCATTCTGCGCATTCTTTACTGGGAGTAGAACATTTAAATCTGATGAGACCAAAACCAAACTCACAAACTAGAGCAAATGCCTGTCATTCATCAACTACTGTGGAACTTTCCCTAAACTGTACTTGCTACAAGGCCACTACTTCAGTTGTGAGATAATAGGAGGGAAAGAAGTGGAGAGATCTGGACAAACGAGTAGTGGGATTCCCCCTTTTAATGTCACACATTCTCTTTTAAAAGTAATTAACTGTAGTCGCTGCATCTTTTTATGGTTTTTGTCCTACTTTTCTCTTTTTCTTTCTTCAGTTATTTGAGGTGTGGTTTCTCTGTGTAGCTTTGGAGCCTGTCCTGGAATTTGCTTTGTGGACCAGGCTGGCCTCAAACTCAGATTGGTCCGCCTCTGCCTCCCGAGTGCTGGGATTAAAGGTGTGAGCCACCACCGCCTGGCTTCTCCTACTTTCTCAAAGAATACTAATGTGTGCATCTTACTCTTTTCTATTTCTTTCACTCTTTATATTTTGTGTATGTTGACACTTTTCCTATTTGAGGAATAAATTACTTTCTGATTTGTCCATATTGCCTGTACAAGTTGACATTTACTTGGTATGAGTAAATGTTTTTCACTTGTCCATCAGCCACAATGTGTTTCTTAACACTTTTTGTCTTGCTTGGTATCTGTATTATTTCTCTAGGGATTATTGGTTTCCAAATGTATAGACATTTGGAAAAACAAAACAAAATATTAAATATTAGTGCATAAAACCCTGCATCATAGATTAAGCATATAGTTCATTGATAGAAAACATACCTATCTTGTATTAGTCCATGGGTTTGATTCATAGCACCACAAAACCTCCTAAAAATAAGTACAAAACCCAGTACATCATATTGTAAAATATATTTGGAAAGAAAATTTAAATCTGTTTAGCAGATTAGTATAACCTTTACTAAGACCTCTTATGGAATTTTAAGCATAATTTCTTTTAGATAGCATCTTGCTATGGAGCCTAGGCATGCCTGGAACTCACCACAGTGGGTTGGTTTCAGACTAATGATGCAATTACATTTACCTCCCAAGTGTTAGGATTTCAGTCATGGGTCACCACACCCTGCATATAATTCATTTTTGAACATGAAATACTAGATTTAAAAGATTTAAAGGTAAATTATTTTAAAATGGTTTATATAACCTCATAATTGTGCTGATACATAACTATCAAATATGTTAATTTCATGCTTCATAACCTTGAAGTATAAGAGCCGCTAGCTGTCTGAAGTCTGCCTAAAACATGTAGAGAATGGATTATTACACCTATTTTTTAGAGAGCACAGTTGACTCTCCATCAAGCTCTGTCAGTGGATTCATTTAGTCCCAATCCTAGATCAACAATGTCTCTTTGTTGCTGTGGTTGTCCTATACTGTATTAGTGAATCTATGATTGTTTTGCAGGTAGACTTTTCTTTTATATGACCACTTAAACAATACAACAACTATTTACACAGAATTTATATTGTTTTAGGCATTACAAGTAATCTATGATGTTTATATATGAGAATTTAATCATGCATACCATTTATATGGAAATAAGATGCCATTTTATATAAGGGAGTCAAGTATCAACAGAGTTTGGGATCCATTTCCTGGCAGATACTTGGGGAATCTTGAAATTTGGTTTGCCTCATAATCCAAGAGGCTGAGAATATATTTGGATATTTATGAAAACAATTGGAGCCAGGCAATGTGATGGCACACGCCTTTAATCCCAGTACTCGGGAGACAGAGGCAGGTGGATCTCTAAGTTTGAGGCCAGCCTCAACTACAGAGTGAGTTCCAGGACAGCCAGTGATACACAGAGAAGCCCTGGCTCAAAAAACAAACAAAAAGAAAACAATTGGAAAGGCACTCAATACCCTTTATTTGGAGAATTATTGATTAAATTGTAGAATCTGGTGATATTCTATTATACACATATTCAAAATGCTAAGTAATGAAAATATTGCATAATAATGTATATAAAGCATATTTTAATAGTAAATGGAAAACCTATGTATTTGTCAATATATCTGTTTATGATGGTTATAAAAAATGTGGAGCATGTACTTTAGACTACATCTGTCGACCTGCAAAGACTGGAAATGGGACTTATTGGAAAAAAATTACTAAACTATTTTTTCTTTTGTTTTTTTAGACACAGGGTCTCACTTAGCCCAGGCTGGCTTTGAACTCCTAATTGCCCAGGCTGGCTTTGAACTCCTAATTATCCTGTCTCTACTTCCCAAATGATGAGATTACAGGCATGTATGCACCACTACACCCAACTTCTAATCTTGTCTTTATACATCTTATATTTATCCCTTATTGCTACACCTATCTTAAAATAATTTTTTATGAAACTTACACACATATATATATATAAAGAAAGATATCATAAACAAGCATGGAGCCAGTTGATATACACTCTAGTTACATAATGCAGCACACATACAAATATGTATAATGAATAATGCATTAATTACTTCTAATAACATATCAAATAGTTCTTTTAGTACAAAAACATTATTTTAAAAAATGGTCAAAAATGGGCAGGTCATGGAAGACAGAATGTATATGGTCAACCAGGATGAATGACTTTGTGCATTCTTTACTGGGAGTCAAAACTGAACATACAAAGAGGAACCACCCCCATTCTGTCATAAATCAACTATTGTAGAACTTCTAGTTTGTACTAACTATATCATACGCAATATCAAAGGAATGATTAAGCAAACTAACATTGTCATATAAAGTAGTATTGTGAGACCAACAAAATATTGAGATAAATCAACTTTTATAAAGAATGCTCACTGAGTGAGTTTGGTGGGCATGGTGGTATACACCCATAATCCCAGCATGTGGGAAACAGAGACAGGAGGGAAATCCTTAATTTTTACAAATTCACTATTAGTTCATTCTTTTTGTAGTAGTCTAAATTCTTGGGAGACGGTTCAGTGGGTAAAGTGCTTGCTGAATGAGTGTGAAGTCCTGAGTTCGAAACCCCATAAACCAGGTAAAACTGGGTGTGGAACCACACAGCTGTAATCCCACCAAGATGGGAGGTGAAACAGGAGAACCCTTGGAAGTTTGTGGGCCAGCTAGATTGGTATCCGCACCAGTGAACAGCAGAGAGTCCTTGTGTCAGACAAGGTGGAAGGTGAGAACAAACACTCCAGATTTTCTTTTCACATCCACATGCATGCCATGGAACATGTACACTCACACATGAATGTGAGCGCACGCATGCAATCACGAATGCGTACACACACACACACACACACACATACCTTGAAAACACAAAGCACATTAATTCTCCATAATTTTCAGTTTATAAATGATAGTGATAAATACATAACATGTGAATTATATACAATGAAAGTATAAACATTGGAAGTATTTTAACAGAATCAAAATTTTTACAGGTATGTATATTGACCTGTTTTTTATTTGTGGAGCTTATGAAAGTGACCCTACATATGAATAAATCAACTTAGTTGTTTTTCATAAGTAAGAGTTGCAATCACACTCAGTACCATTCAGCAGAGGAATAATTTGATAGATAATATTGTCATATAGTATTGTGAGACCACTGAAATAGTGAGGTGAGTCAATCTGTATAAAGAAATCTCATTAAGGGAGCAGGGCATGGTGGTACACATCCATTATCCCTGCACTTGGGAAACAAGCAGGAGAGAAATTATGAGTTTGAGACTAACCCTGCCTGTACAGTGATAGTGAGATACCATCACAAAAAGAAAAAAATCTAGAACTTAAGATGATAACCTGCATAAGACCAAAATAGGACCCCTGAACATGGGAGACTTGGGCAGTCTGTGGGGTCACTGGCAGTGGGACCAGTATTTATCCCTAGTGTATGAACTGGCTGTTTGGAAACCATTCCCTGTGGAGGGATACTCCTCAGCTTAGATACAGGGGACAGGCAGGGCCTTGGTCCTGTGACAGATTTTGTTGACTCTCCATGGGAGGCCTCACCCTCTTTGAGGAGTGGATGGGGGTGGGGTGGAGTGAAGGGGCAGGGAGCAGGAGGAGAGAAGAGGGAGAGGGAGAAGGAGAGGGAGAGAGAGAGAGAGAGAGAGAGAGAGAGAGAGAGAGAGAGAGAGAGAGAGAGAGAGAGAGAGAGAGAGAGAGAATTGGGATCAGTATGTTAAATAAGATTGTTTTAAAAATTATAAATGGATGGTCCAATTCATATTCCAAACTCCAAATTTAAAATATTTTATTGTGACCACCATGTAAATATACATCTAAGTAAAGGCATGGGCAATGGTAAAGAAGTGATTGATGCTGATATTTTCATCTGGAGATAGAGGGAAGACTGAGAAATGGTAAAAAAGTTTGGTGAAAAGAGGGTTTTTATCTATGTTGTTTAAATATGAATTTTCCAAAATGTAAGAGTCAAGGACAATGAGGCAACAGTGGGCACAGGTGATGATAGAAAACCAAGAGCCACCGAAATAGGCATCCGTGCCATTTTCTGGGAGAAAATTACACTAAGGGTAAAAGAAGCTCTGGTCTAGTTGACACAAAAGCCTTTTTTGCATTTACGAATTAGGTACCAAGCACTAGCAGATTATCAGTATCCTAGGATGTCTCTCCTATAATCTGCTTAGAAGAGAATCTGAAGTATTGCCTTCTGAACACATGTACTTGACTTGTATAGTTGCATTTCAAATTGTAAATGAATATTCTTCTCTTTTTATATCTTTCAGTATTATGATGTAATGACTGTGATTTCACCTCCAGAATTTGGATGAATTTAGGACGTGGGCAAGATCGGGTTGTAGACTTCTAGGAATGAAGCATGGTGTGTGTGAATCATGGTAAACCCACCAAAGCAAGTAATGCCCCTGAGATGATCCTGCAGAAGCCAATCATTGCTCTCTTTTGTTGATGCCCAGTCTTTGCTGTATTACATTAAAATCGCATAAATCATTTATGTCCAAATAAATTTGGTCTTGCTGCTGTGTTAACGCTATATGACTATTATCTGTTAAATTTTGAGTTTAAAGTAAATATTCCATGAAAATTCTAAATATAAGATATTACTAAAATTAGTCACGAAATGTGAGCTTTTCCCTCTAGATGACCATCTATTCATCACTGTAGGGTGACTATGGCAGGAAAGGTATGGGTAAGTGAAATCTTAAAAGAGTTAGGTTGCCAGTAACCAGTAAGCTACACTTACCCGACAATTTGTTTATGTCGTGTATAGCCCGCCATATTAATCCTCATTCTGTACTGCACAGCTTACCTATTTTCTTGGTCAAGATGGTTTGTGTGCTTCTTTTACTAATTTACTACTTTTAAAACGACCAAAATTAAATACTATGAGTATCCTAATTATAAACATTTATAAGTATTATGTGGAAAAACCACACTAAGTATGGGAAAACTAGTTTCACGTTCTTACACCTGACATAGTTAATGAATTGTTCATTAATTACTCATGAATCAGGGATTTAAAGACCAAGGGATGTAGCTGAATGGTAAAGCACTTGCCTAACATGTGCACGTTTCTGAATTTAATCCTCCAAACTTCAGAACCTAGACCAGAAATACCCCTAAAAAGTGTTCGGGGCATGGGGGGGAGGGATGAGAGATTCATAGGAAAAATGTGTATGCATTGTGGCAACTCAGCCAGAAATAAAGGCACGAGGATTCTATCTTCTGAATTATAATAAAGGAAAAGTACTTAGTATATCTGAAAACAACATATAAACATGCCTATATGTTAGTATATAAAATGATCACATAATTTGTTCATAGTTAAAGCTGACAAATATTTTTGAAAAGGTGTGAAATATATTTGATTCTGAACACTGAAATTAGCCGTTGGCTTCAGAAGCAAGGAATATGGAAAACATACCACAAATATACAGTGATAATTATTTCTATCCCAGAGTTACACCATGCACAAGTGCCATGAATAAATACATTAAAAACACTGGCCGGGCGTTGGTGGCGCACGCCTTTAATCCCAGCACTCGGGAGGCAGAGGCAGGCGGATCTCTGTGAGTTTGAGGCCAGCCTGGTCTACAAAGTGAATTCCAGGACAGCCTCCAAAGCCACAGAGAAACCCTGTCTCGAAAAACCAAAATAAATAAATAAATAAATAAAAATAAAAACACTGTAGCATTGTCCTTTAGAGCTCTCAAACTATTGAAGCAACACAAATATTACAAACAGACATCACCGTCTTCTTGAACCAAATGATAACTGGTGATAGGCATATCATGGGCCAAAGGTTCAATATTGTATGGGTGATGCCAATCTCCGAAATACATATTTGTCCTTTGTATCCCAGTTCAAGTTGCCTTCTGAAGAAGTTCCAGGATGATCTGAGGATCACAAAAAAGTGATGGAACTAAAATAGCCAAAACATTTCCAGGATATCTTATTTTTCCGGATTTGAAAATTTACTACAGAAGTACAATGAGCAAAATGATGTAGGATATAGATCTGTTGATTAATGAAATAAAATCATCAGCCTAGGAATAAGCTGTCGTATTTATAGACAATTTTTAAAAAGGTGCCATACAAGGCTAAGAAGAATGGTGTTTTGACCAAATGGTTCTGTGACTAGCAAGCATCCACATGCAAAAGAATGAAGCTAAATCCCCACCTGACATGCATTCACAACTTAACCTAAAATGTGTCAAAGACATCAGTCCAATGGTTACATCATACAATTCTTGGGAAGAAACAGGAGGAAATATTTATGAGCTTGAATTATGTATTTTAGATATCATGCAAGAAGAACAGGTAACAATGAAAAATGCAGGTAATCTTCATAGTATAATTACATCTGTTGCTGGCAAACTAAGCAGTAGTGGAGAGACTACTTTAAATGCCCCTCCCTGTTAATGATTTTGACGACTATCTTATATACCATCCTAGAACCTCCATCTAGTGGCAGATGGAAGTAGAGGCAGACATCCACAGCTAAACACTGAACTTAACTCCTGGAACCCAGTGACAGAGAGGGAGGAGTGATGAGCAAAGCGGTCAAAACTGGGCTGGTGAAACACACAGAAACAGTTGACCTGAACAATGGGGAGCTCTTGGACCCCAGACTAATGGCTGAGAGGCCAGCATGGGACTGATCCAGACTCCCTGAATGTGGGTGTCAGTGAGGAGATCTCAGCAATCTATGGGCTTTGGGTAGTAGATCAGTATTTATCCCTGGCACACAAATGAACTTTGGGTGCCCATCCCACAATGAGGGATGCTCTCTCAATCTGGACACTTGAGGGAGGGCCTGGGGCCTCCCCGGAACAAAATGACAGACTCCAGAGATCCCCCAGGGGATGGAGTGGGGATTGGGTGGGGGAGCTTGGGGGGCTTGTGGGGCGTAGTGGGCATGGAAGGGAGAGAGATCTGGGACTGACATGGGAAGCAAGCTTGTTTCTAATTTAAATATATAATAAAAGTGTTTATAAAAATAATAATTACATATGTTGTTTTATAAAAAAAATGATTACTTCAAAGAATACCATCAGGGGAGGCAAGTGGTGGATTGGAGACCTCTAGAATTTTCCTGTATCTCTGCTATATTAAAATAATGCAGGGGTATGTCTTCATGGAGAAGAGGTGGCATGGAAAAGTATGTGAGCCCAACAATAGAGGGCAGGAAATCCAGAAATATTGGATGTTAGAGTTGTTTAAAAAAACAACACTAGAGGCTAGGTGCAGTGGTGCATATCTCGTTGCCCCACCCCACACTTTCCCCCAACAGGATTTCTCTGTGTAACCTTGGCAGTCCCAGAACTAGCTCTCTAGACCAGGCTGGCCTTGAACTCACAGAGATCTGCCTGCCTCTGCACCCAGTCAGAGTGCTGGGGTTAAAGGTGTGCTGCTGCCGCCGCCACCACCACAACCACCTTTAATGTGTGCCTATAATCCCAGCACTCAGGAGGCAGAAGCAGGCTGATCTCTGTGAGTTCAAAGCCAGCCTGGTCTACAGAGTGAGTTCCAGGACAGCCAGGGCTACACAGAGAAAACCTGTCTCAGAAAAACCAAAAAAGAAAAGGGGGGTGCTGCCAGTGACCACATTGACATCAAACACTGGAGAAGGAGTTTCCTGGATGTTCAACTTGCCCACTGGTACAGTGGCACAGAATCACAAAGGGGTCTTCCCATCAAACCAAAGGATCAGAGGTACTTTCATGTATGTGCTTCCAAGTCCCAACAACTTCTCTTCACTGGCTGAGAATAAGTTGAGTGTGTGGGTTGCAAGAAACTTGTTCACATACACAAGGTTCACATACACAAGGACAAAGCAGACATTTCTTCCATTTGGAAAAGATGAGAACCTCTTAGAAGCAGCAAGCACAGGGCTGGCATAGGTCTGCACCAGGTCCTCTGCATCTATATCAGCACATCTTAGTTTTCATAGCAAATGGATAAGAGACAAAATAAAGAAAACAAAGGTATTTCCATTATGTGAATACATGTGTGTATTTGTTATATCATGAGGTAATACTCATGAGATATACGTCGCTCTTTAACTACTCATGAAGCTGCGGCTCACATTTGTAACTACCTTCCACTATCTCTTAGCCTTCATCAAGCACAAGAGTGTGGGGACACCAGACCTTGAGCAGAAACCCACTTCCCCTTTGGCCTGGGAGCAGGCAGCTGTGTAATGTTTACTGAAAACAATTCAGTGCTAAAGCTCTTGATAGGGCTCAGATAAGGGCTTGCTCACTGAAATACCATGCCTTTCACACCCCCTATGGCTAGATGCCTCTTCCTGTTTCCCTGCTGTGTCTCCCCGATTCTGGGGCCGGAGATTAAACCACCAGCCAGGAGGGTGAGAAGTCTGGAAAGAATTGTATGTAGATAGATGGCAGAAGTCCTTAAAAGGGGGAAGTGTTTTTTCTTAGAGAGACTTCTCCTGAGAGCTCTCTCCTAAGCGGACTGGGGTCTCCTCCTAAGCTGACTTGGGAAGCATAAAGTTTTCTTAAAGCAACTGACCGGTCTCTGTGTCATCTATCCCGACCACCTCACTAACATTCTTGGATGCAGGCCGCACAGCAGGTGCGACAATTGTAGGTCCCACCGAGATTGTGAAAGCAAGGTAAGTGAGTGGGTTCGTCTCTTTTTCTGGCCAGGGACAGATTGGGGAAAAAAGAAAAGAAACCATGGGGAATAGTTCTGGGAAGCTTAAATTACAGTATCAAGTTAAAAAGTTACTTGAAGGACATGGGACTACAGTAAAGTCTAAAACCTTAGAAGGCTTTCTAAAATCGATCGAATGAGCCAGTCCATGGTTCATTACCGGGGGGAGCTTAAATATCCCAGATTGGGAGGAGGTTCGCCGTGATCTTCATCAACTTTTACGAAAAGAGGGACCTGAGTCCCTGCCCCCATCCACATTCTCCTTATGAAGGGCGCACTTTTGACAGATAAGGCTAGCCACCGCCAGGTAGTCAAGGCCACAAAAGAGGCTTTTTTCAGAGTTACAAGAGATTGAGACTCAAGCCTCCCTGAGTTCTGAGGCAGAGAGTGACAGTGAATCATCTGGAGAAACCCTGACTGAAACTAGAGGCTCCATTGTTAGTGAGGATGAGGAGGAGCCTCTTAACAACAACAAAAGAGTTAATAGAAATCTCGGGGGCGCAACCCAAAAGGAGGGACTTCAGTCAGAATCGGGTATATCCTACTCTGCCAGACCTAGAGAATGAAAATAGCTCAGACCCAGAGTCTGAGAAGGAACGGTTACTTACTGAGGTCTCGGCCCTTAAAAAGGCACTAAAAAGGACTCGAATTAAAAAAAGACAGGACAGGGAGAGAAACCCTCCATACTCTAAAATGAGGGACTCCTCCTTCTCGGACCTGGAGGGAAGACCCAGAGGAGGGGTCCAATGCTGTCCGGTGGTGGCCCCAGTAATGGAAGTTCCAGACCCAAACAACCCTGAGCGGGTCATTAGGCACCATAACCCTTTAAGTTTCAAAGATATGAAACAACTGAAA